TTGAAGTATGAAAAACCGTTAATACATCAGCGTCACTTGCGCACCTAAACTACTTAAAATGACATTTGCAAACCTCCACGAATGACGATGTCTCCATGGCTCCTTCACTCAAACCACCTACAAATTTCTTGCTACTTTAAAATAAACATTTGTCCCTTAGGCAATTCTGTTATTTTGCAATCTGTGGTGGTTAGAACAGACTTCTTGTGGCAGTCTAGAGGTCACAGAAAATTGCAGCATTGACTTGTCAACAAAGTGGTGGAAAACCAACTCCAGTACACCTACTTGTGAGTATGACTTCATGTACAACGAATTGATGACCAAATCCCAAGTCCATGCTCTGTCGTAGGTCTCTTCATGAGGAAGCGGTAAAATTGTTACCACCACTCTTTATTCGACCTGATGCCATTCTCAAATCTTTGCTGGCTAACAGTTCCAGATAAAACACTAAACATGGCCTACTTGTGACGCTAGAAGGCCAAATAGGGGAGGTGATCACTTCCTCCAAAATAAAGAACATGCCTCAGGGCGTAACACATTGCCCCTCTTCACTTTTTTCTTAAAACTAACAAAAAAGACTCATCGGTTATGTATCAAAAGTTTTTTGCAAACACTGTGATAAAGTAAATAAATGTAGGAGGGAGAGGGTTGTGGTGGATTAGGGACTCTTGAAAATTAGTAAAACCTACGGTTGTTGAGGGTGAATATCGAGCTCGTTTGCTACCAAGATGAAGCAGATCTTCGAGCTGTGAGGCGGTGGTTTTGGAAGCGGGCTTGTGGCCTTGTTGAAGGAGAATGCCAGGATCCGTGGAGAGCACGGGAGCCCTAGAATGTCCACCACCGGAACTACTACCTCCGCCGCCACCGGAGGAGGGAAAGAAAAGGGATGGCGGCGACCAAATTCCGTGGGTTCGGACTCGTTTACGCGCCTGTTTCCAGGGTCGACGTTGAATCACAATGAAGACGAGGAGGATAATCACGGCTAGGGAAGAAAAAATATGCCTTCTTCAGCCTTACATTTAACTATGATACCGCAAGTCTCTGCGCTCTTTTTCAATTCAATGAAAAAGCACCTTTATGCCCGGTGTACCTTATAAAACCTCAAGACGTAAACATGGTCCACCATCCGGATACACTTCCATGAGCTGGGCGTCTATTTTGCATAATTTACCGCACCTCCCTTGCCTCCAATTTAAAATGACAAGTGTGACAATAGAACAATGATTGCAGAAGCAGCAGAATTAGCAATTTTGCATGCATGCGAATGCAAATGTACGCCACGACAACACCCAAGACCGTAAGACTTCCACCATTTACCACCCCCGAAAATGCGAATCCCAAAGGGGCTGCATAATTACGACTCCTCTCTCTTCCGCCTCCCCGTCCCCCGTCCCCCGTCCCCCCTCTCCTCCGCTGCTGCAAAAATAAAGAAATCAGACAATCACGTTTGTCTTAGTGTGATTTTCTGCACCAATGAAAATAAGACACTTGATGCAATAAGTAATAGAGTAGGGCGGTGATGTCTCCCATGACTACTTTTGATTTCTCAACTCTTGCGCAATCCATTGTTGCGGGACACTACGCTCGGGCTTTCTTTTCTTTTGGATAAATTGTCAGGTGAAGAGAGTGGTCAATGCATAAAAGATCAGAATTCCAGAAAAAAAAAGGACTGCCATGACGCATGAACGATCCGCGGCCAAAGTCACGATAGTGGATGGACCAGTAGGGACAAAAAATCATGCTGCTATACCAAAATCTCAGCAATCGAAATGACCACACGGTTTTGGTAGAAGTGACAGATTTAGTTTGGGAAAAGAAAGATCCACTGAAACTGCTTACTAGAGTGAAGCAGTTGTCGAAGTAGGTTCTTGCAAAGATGCAACTTCATATGATGTATGTGTGTGGCACGAGTAGATTCGTTAAAGCGCTGTTCTCATTGCATTTAAGCATAAATGCCGACTGTTGGTAATAGAGGGAGCTACAACACAAACACTAGGTGACCTAGACTGATGTCGCATAGGAGTTAGTGGAAAATCATGAGCCACTATTCATTCTTATCCTAAACAGATCAAATTGAAACTTTGCCATCAGAGAACTATCAGTAGCTAGCTCAGATGACAGCAATCCTGAGAACACAAAAAGCATCAAGATCCGCAATCTCGAAGAGAAATTTCCATAAAACAAAAGAGGAGTCACAACTCTTCCATTCTCTCCCCCATGCTCTCCAAGAAATCGTATACCACAGTCCCGATACTTGAGTTAACGAACAAACGCAAGAATACCTAGACAGAGGCACAGGCCCAAGATTTTCTCACGTCCCAGAGGAGGGAAAGAGGGGGGTGAGAAGTGGACACCAGAATTCTAGGCGGTTCCGTGTCCGCATACAGCTCGTCTAACAACATCCCTAAACACTGCAGTTACAAGGAAAAATGCCACGCTGCTTGTTGCCGCCCCTTTAATTACGTATACCTTGGTGTAGGTGGTAAAAGTGTGATGTAAAATATTGGAGAGCGGTGTTGCTTGTGATTGGTGAACCACAAAACATGAACGCAGTGACCAGCCAACCGGGCAGTTATACACACAGGCAGCTGTTCATGCCTTCACAGAGGCTTTTTTAGGCCTCTTCAAGGAGATGCACCTCTATAAACTCTAAGAGCGGTACTTAAGTCGGTACTTAACGCAACTAACTATTCAACAACACCCACGACTGTGGGACACAGAGCACAAAATTACCCCTTTGTCAGGTGCTGAGCTCCGAAGCCTTCATATTTGGTAGGCATAAAAGTTTCTCCTGTAAGTGGTCAACAAAAGAGCTCTCAGAACTGTATTGTCATGCCTAATCGACAACTGCATCTTAAATGTCAAAAGAAACTCGATTTCTTGGTGTAGGCTTTCATTTTCGTTCATCCCTTCTCCAGCTTTCGAATGAGGTGGCGCACGATGGATAAGCTACTTTAATGTTGAAGTTGACAGCGGGGGAGGAACGCTCACCCTTCTGTCCGAATGGCCGCATAACTGAAATATGCATTGCTTAGCCAGAAAAAATGAAAGAGAGCTTAGGCTAAAAGTCATCAAAAATCACAAATTGGCTGCCTTATTCAACATAAACTCATAAATAATGGAAGTACTTAAAGTGCTACGGTGCAATGTATATCAAAGTAGCGAGTAGCGAGGCGTCAAACGCTCAAGTGGGCACATTGGAGAGGAGCAAGAAGGTGCATACCAATGTCATTTACCTGAGTCTGGCCAGTTCCAATCTG